CAATCACAGCTTTGTTTGTTTTAAAGGAGGAGGTGATGCAAGAGAGAAGAAGAAAGAGACGATGTAACGGGAATGTCAACAAAAAAACGTTGCCAGTTGATAGGGGAAGCCTTAGCGGCCTGTTAAAACTGCAACTACCCCACCAATGATGTCAAATTGGTTGTCAAAGGAAAAACACTTGCTCATCACTTACAATAAATTGAGACACTGAAATGAATGGACAGTGTCAAGTCAGAGTCATGGTTACTTATGACTGTTAATACGATCAAAATGACAATACCTTTAAAATTAAACATGGCTTCTCGCCTTAATTTCGATTGCATGAGTCATGTAATACTGTTCTATTGAGTTTGTGTACAGAAGATGGGGCGGTTGATTGGTTTGAAGGGTTACACAGTGCAGCCTTTCATAATAATGAAACTCCTTTCATCTTTCAAAATGACTCCATCTAAATCAATCCTTGGTCTTATGTGGGCTTTAATCTGCCCCTGAATACATTCTACAGTGAGACAACAGGTTTATTGACAGAGAAGTATGGAGATGGAGGGCAATAAAGCTTGACTGAATGACATCTATCTTGAGCTCGTTTTTCATTTCTCTTGCCTGTCACTTTTCTGGATTCCTGAATCTGAACTTGACTTTTTATCCAATACAGTAATACAGTAATCTGTATGATAGGATGACAGGTGTGGAAAACTTAGTCAGAAATTGTTTGTGTAAGGTATAAATTATAGCTGACAGTTTTGGTTAAAAACGTTCCTACGTGCAGCAGCTAGAATGTGTAATCCTTCCATTAATCATTAATTTCACAGTGACACTGATGCAAGCATAAGATCCCCATTCCTTATGCATATTGTTGAGACAGCTGCTTCACCTCTTCATTTTATTCATCTGTTTTATTCATACAAACTTCCCCTGTTATTCCACACCTTTCATTCCACACCTGTCCAGCAGCTGCCACTACTGATCTTTTCACTTCATCTCATTACCTGACCTCCTCCACTGCCTGTCCCAGCTTCTCCTCTTTTGTGGCTAGCTCCTGTGTACATATAGAGGACAGCTATCAGTCTCTTTCTCCCAGGCTGTCTGTCTACCCATCATTCAGTTACCTGCCAGCATCTGCCCTGATGACTGTCTGTTTGCCTAGCCTGTAAGACTGTAAGCTGCCTTTTCTACCATCTAAAGACAATTTTTTTTTTAACCACACAGTGATCAATTATTACAATTTAACCCATTAACCATGTGGCATGTTGTTAGCTAAAAGCATCAAATCGTACCTGCTTTGTTTTCACATTACAAAGAAAGATAAAACATTACAAAGAAAGATAAAAAACACAATCTTAGTACCCCTGTTATTTAGAATTGTGATTGTGACTGTGATTTCTCTGGCTCCCAATTGTGCAAAGACTCCAACAATGTGGTTGACTGATATTCACTGGAATTGGAAAGGTCAAGATAATAAGACTCTAAGGGAGAAAATGCACAAATACTTTGTAATACCACACATCAAGGTATAAATTAGATGCTTTCTTATCTCCCCAGAATTTGTTTGGATGCACATAGACACATTTGTATTGAAATTCACATGGGAAAATAAACAACTTTAAGTCAGAAAGAATGTATGTCAGTGGTATAGTTTTACAATTTAGGTCATATGTTTGTTTGCTTTCATGGCGAAAGTAGATGAGAAGATCAATATCACCCTCATATCTGTCTGTTAGATATAAACATGTCTTGTTTAAAAGGTATAAACACCCCAAAAAAAGTACTTTTCTTTCATCATTATAATAATATTCTCAATATTTTGAGACTATGTGGATTGCAGTTTTACAAGTATACTTTCACTTAGTGATGTTAAATACTGATGTTTCAAATAGATTAAAGCCATTATGGGTATGTTTGTACCTATTTAACAGCTCTTTACTCTATGGTGTCTAAAAAAACATCTGATCCTCTTGCATCATGTGTACATATGCTGCACACTCTAATTGTGTGTGTGTGTGTGTGTGTGTGTGTGTGTGTGTGTGTGTGTGTGTGTAAATGAAGGTGCCTTAACAAGCTGACAAAGCATTTTACTGCCACTGTGTGTATCCAAGATTTACATCACAAAAGGGATTGGATTCTCCCTGTGTGATAATCCTGTTTAAGAGCATAACAGCATGATGACAAATTTTCTTTTCAACCTAAAGCTCCTCACTAAGTGTGGCAGACACTGCTCCAGTTTCAACAACAGTCGTGCTCATTTTTATGCCTGACAGGAGGAGCAGAATGTGGTTTTAAAGACAAATGCGCCTACCAAGCTGTTTGTGTACCGTGAGCCCTCAAGTGTTCACACTTCATGACCAAATTTAAAATTTCCTCTTAGACTATACTGATTTTAAGTTGTGTTGGAGTAGAGGACACAGCTGGAAACAGCAGATAAATTACTTCAATTAAGAAAGAATCTCTTAGTCAAGTCCAATTTCCCACTTCTTGTTTTGGCTTTTCACTTCACTTGTAAACTTCAATGACACACTGAAACAGTTGAGGATAGTCAAGTCAGCCACTCAATTTTGGAGATTAAGTATGTTTTGCAATGAATTACACACGCTGCTCAGATCCTCGTAATGGGTTCATTTGGATTCTGGATTAACTTTGATGAATGAAACTGAAGATAAGAGCTGAGAACTCAGTCCTTGTCTGCAAAAATTCAACTCTTCAAACGAAAGCTTCGTGCATCTCTGAACTTGTCAGCTCACATCACCTTGTGCGTTAGAAACAAACTGGAGTTGAGGAGGCTGTTGCTTTGAGTTAGCGTTTGATTTGCTTAGCTGTATTGTGGAGCAGGTTGTTAAGTGATGCTTTCAAAGGGTTTAGAGCACAGCTGTGTGCCAAGTTCACCATAGTGTGAAAAAAAGAACAGGTTCCAGCTCAACTGGCTATTAAAATGTATTGAACATGAAAGATTTAAATCAGTGACATCATAATAGTTCACAGATTGAAAAAACTCCTCTATTTTGTAATTTTCTGATTTTAATTTCAACAGGTTTAGTTCAGATGATCCCATTTTCTCTTCTCTACAACCTTTTCTGATTGAACAGTGGATTGAAAATTAAAGATACACAGTGCAGTTTGTTCAGACCCACAGAACATAAAAATAGCACTGAATATTTTATTTCATTAGGAACTTTGTGGAAATCGAGGTGGAGGCAGACTGCTGCCCACCCCGAGCCCAGCTGTGTTGGAGGTTTCTTCCTGTTTAAGGGAGGTTATCCTCTACGCTGTTGTCACGTGCTGCTCATTGGGTTGAGCAGCATGTCATTGGGTGGGTTTCTCTCTATAATATTAACCATTCTGTAAAGTGCCTTGAGATAATGCATGTTGTGACTTGGTGCTATATAGATAAAATTGAACTGAATTTAATGGAAATGTGTACACATTTCCTCTTTGTGGAGCCTTAGAAAAACACAGCCTTGGAGTTCAGTATTTTACCCAACTTAAGCATCAGGAACTAAGCAGAACTCACGAGCCAATCACAAGCATCTTAGACATTTTATCACATTTTAGATCGTCTGTTTGACAATTAAAAATCATTACAAAGACAAAAGAAAGGCATAATAGTTGGGTAAAATGTTCCTGCCAAATGTCATCTCTTTCTATGAAAACCCGTTTATCCAAGGGACCTGCGTCATCTCTCATTTCTCTCATCACTGTCATCCGTCTACTGAAGCATAAATGCCAAAACATTGTCGATATAAAATGCACTTCCTCAGAAATGGTAAGTCTGGGGGTTTGGCACTGTAAAAAGTTCTCTTACAGATATAAACATGATTGAATGTGTGTCCTCTCAATGAGCTTGATTGTGCAAAGTAGTTCCATTATTATAGATTTTCATTCCCGGTTCTAAAAGTCCATACGTAATCAGTCACATTATTTGTGTGTGTTTTCACAAAAAACACAGTCGTAAACTTTCAAATTCTAAAGAGACTTGGCTTTAAGGTCGTTAAAGACTTCTTTAACTGTAGGAATCAAAAATGAACCTGAGTTATAATGAAAAATCAAAAAATAAATTCTGTGCTACCTCTTAATTCAAAACCAAAAGTTTTTTCTTCATTTATATTTAGTTGCACCTTTAATTGACTAACTGCATTTACTTGGCTAAACACGTATCACAACATCACTAACACATCCACCTCTTGTATGATTTAGGATCACATTCATTAGTATCATATTCATTCACACTCCTGCCAACTTTGTGATATCATCCATGTTGCCCCAACTATCCAAATCAACCACAGCACACTGCTTTAATACTACAACAGTACCAACACACTGGCTGAGCTCTATGGAGAGAAGACAGGCATGAAGCCATAAATAGAGAAATATAAATACAGCATGCCAGGCACATTTATAAAATCTTGTTTGTAGGAGCAAAGTACATGGTTATGTGCTGGTATATCAGTGTTTTGAGAGCAGGATTTGGGAAAAATATTAAGTCACTGTCACTTGTTTAGTCACCATGCCCACAGACTAAAACAGTGACAACTGGGGACAATATTATCAAATATTTTTATTAGCTTAATCTCTCAAAAATACAAATAAATGTTAAGTGTTGACACACAATCACCACATCTGTACAGTATAAATAGAAATGTTCAGTATCTCAGTATGACATTTAAACATGTTGTATGGGCATTTTGGTACTAACACCTGAACAAAGCACAGGTGACAAAGCATGTCTTCAATAACAAGTACAACAACCAACCAGACAGCACGGTGAGGGGTTCCTGTGAGACACTGCCACCCAATGTTAGCTCAGAGTATAATAAACCCTGTTGGCTCAAAACGACATTTTGGAGCTCTAAGAAAGCCTTACACTGAGCTCATCTGTCATGTATTTGGGTTTAATCTCATGGCATTCAAAGAGTTTTATAAAACCGTGGACATTATTTTAAGTCATTTGGAGAGCTGGAGGAAAACGACAATCAATAGATATTTTCAGTCAACAGACTTGTACATTATTAGAGCTTTGAGATGGCAGTCAGCAAGGAGCCAGTCAGGACGACACAGGAGGCCAAGAAGAAGATAAAGCAGTTGGTTAACCCCTGAGGGAAAAACAGGTGTTTAATATTAGCATTAAATATGTTCAGTTTCTAAAATGCTGTTTTAGTCTAATGAAATCAATTCTCTAGAAAAACTCTGCAGACACGCTCGCCTTGTTAAGCTATGGCTGCACACTTACTGAGTACAGCCCGTGTTACAGCCACTGAAATATACAACCATTGACTGAGAAGATCTAGAATACTGAACGTGATCAGTGTTGTGATCCTTACTTTAATCTCTCTAAACACCAAGGATCCCCACAGTGCTGCAACCAGACCGTATCCCTGCAGAGGAGAAACCAAACAACAACAAGCTGTTTATTGAGCACAGACCAGTGATTAAAATCACTCACCTTGAGTCTGTGTCTACTTTGTAGACATTTGAAGGTTTTCACCAGGGAAAGGTTTTTGAATTACACACATTCTAGGCAGACCAACCATCTCAAGGAGCCAAATAAGTAAATCTGAGTAAATCAGTGTGTGAATAGCAGTGTAGCACAGCTGGTTATTTGACCTCAAGGGAGAAGGAGAAGAGGGATAAAGAAGTTGAGGCCATTTGGCTCTCTTTATTTCTGTTATGCTTTACATACACATAAATTCTACAATCACCAATATACTTCAGGCTGCCTGTACTATCTTAACAAGCATAAACAAGCACCCTTTTCTTTAAGCCTATTTTAACAAATGCATTTAATTGGTCCTGTTTCAACATTTCTGACTAATTACAGTTTTTTTGTGGGGATTTAGAATAATGAGACAAACATCTCAAGAGGCATCCTTGACAAGAAGTCTCAACAGCTACTGGCTAAATTGCCATTAAAAGTCACTCCAGAGAATAATTATTGATGATTTTGATGACACTGTCACTTTTTGTTTACTCCTTAACCAATACTTTTCTCAATAAAAGCTTTTTGTGATTGTGTGACATTTTATTTACATCACCATCAGGCCAAAAAAACTGAACTTGTCCACGAAAAAAAATGTCAGAGGAAAATGTAAAGATTGGCATGGCATTACTGAGCAGTCTGGGAAATGAACGTTGCATTCTCGATACACTTTAAGCTCTCCTTTAGTACCATCACCACCTCATGAAAAAAAAAAATCATAATCACAGGCAGACATCAAAATCTCAACAGAAACATCCAATACCACTAGCAACTGCATGGAAAACCTGATTCATTTGTCATGCTGGTGTGTTTATCGGTGGAAGTCTGAGTTCAAGTGGTGGTAAACAGACTGTATTTACTTCCATTACCGCTCAACTGTCAGAATGTGATTTACTTACTGCGGTGACAATAGGATAGGTAATGACTGCACTCAGGTAGTTGTTAGCCAGGAACCAGCAGTATGTAGCTAATGCCCACATTAGTCCAGACAAAAGACCTGAGGAGAAAAATGAGATGACAGACTGTATTTGTGCTCGAGTCAAAAATAGTGCCAATACACAGCAGAGTTCACAATACAGGTGGGTACATTCAAGTAGGAAAAAAAACTTCAGACAGCTACAGGAGCTAGTAACTGGTTTAAAACAGTCAGAAGCTGCACAGCAGATGAGGACACTGCATGGTGCCATGAAATTAAGGTCCACTGTGAAAGGCCCATCCACCCAGCTGTAAACCAAAAGGACAGATCTAAACTCACAAGCCACACTGCATGCTAGGTTTTGGGCCAGAGTGGACATGTTTAGCCCTGGCAGTTCCCCCTGAATCATCACATTCAACCATTCCCCGAGTGGATGTGTTTGCACATGCAGCTTAGCAAAGGAAGCTGCTGCAGTTCCTCTACAACAGCTGATGCTTCCTGCCTTGGTGAGAGTCAAACTGAAGCTATTATTAGACACTCTGGTTGCCCCTAGTGCATGGCAGCTCAGCGGTTCACAGGCATAATCAGCTGGTGGAAAATAGTGTTATAGCCAGCCGTGAGTTTTTAGGATCTCAGTCTGAGCAGAGCAGTGTTATAGACCAGATGCAAGTTCTGAGGCAGTTTGCAGTTTCTGCACTGACGGCACAGGGTGCACGAGTTTTCATAACTTTAGAAACCTGAGGAGGTGAAGATATCCAGCATTTGACAAGGAAAACAAAGAATTTAGAGAAATGCCAGGAATAAAAATAAACATAATTTAGCATTTTTCTTGTCAGAAAAAAATATAATAAATTAAAAGCCAGGCTTTTAATTACAGCAAGAGCCAAACTCACAAAATTAACTAAAATAAAAACTATCAAGTCACAGTCAATGCCTACAGGGTGAAATGTCTGAAGGTTGAATCAAGACTTTACTGCCAGTGTCACTAAAAACTGAATGCTATCAGATTGTGGTCGTGCCACCAGCTTGAACAAAACTTGTTATGTGAGACTGTTACCTGGTAGGATGGCTCTGGAGTAAACCCTGGGCCTGTTATTCATAGCAGCACAGTAGATGGCAAAGTACACAGTGCTCGCAACAAAAATGCCAGAGCACTGCGCATAAACATAGTCCAGGTCTGTAAGAAGTTGACACAAGAATTGATAGTTTTACATCATTTGTGTTTCTCTGTGGGTTTACAGCAAAAAAAGCTAAGATCAGTTGCACTGCTTTTTTTTTTTTTTTTTTTTTTTTTTTTTTTTTTTTTTAAGTGGTCGGTCAATATAAATTCACAAAGTTAGAGCTGAAGTGATAAAAAAAAGAGCAGTATCATGCTTTATTGTCAAATAATTTCTTGAGCTACCCCACTTGGCGACTTTAGAGAGACATTGAGGAAGCTGGATATTAAATCTAATCCTCTGGAGGGTCCAGTGCTATTTGTAGACCAACACTGGACCACATTCTTCACACTGAGACAGCCTTTTAATCATTTTTAGATTTTTGTTCCGTCTAGTCTTCAAGTTGGGTATAACAATAATAATAGTAGTTATTGAACACTGAATCCATACCATAGACACTGGCTCCATGGAATATGCTGTCACGACATGATGAATGGCTCTTAATGTAGAGGATGGGTGCAAAGGAGGAACCGTACAGCAGGCCCGACATGACAGCAAGCAGGCAGCCTCTAAGGAAGAGAATGAGGTACAGAACTGCATAACAGAGGATTTTAAAATCTCTATTCACACATTGTTCAGTTTCTAAAGTCAATTTCTGCATTGTTTACAAAAGATGATAAAAATTGATTGTCAAGATCGAATTTGTATTTTACAGTTTGATTGCTTCATTTATGTTGTGTTTGAGTGCTTATATTTCCCCCTGCTTTGTGTATTCTATTGCTGCTACTTATTTTATCAGTGAGTTCCTTTAATCTAAATATAAATAGTTTTAGTAAGTTGAAAAATGTCACACTTGCTAAGAGATGGTTATATTTAAATCAAACCAACCAGCAGCTTTAGATTCAATAACTAAAAGGTGTCTGGTGAAAGTCTGGTGCTTAAAGTAAAAATATGTAACTTTATTCTATCCTTGAGGAATATAATCAAATTGATCAGAATCAAAGTTTCATTATCTTTGGTTTTAGAATATTTGTGCACACAGCCCACGGACTGCTAATGAGCTGAACTCACATGAACCGCCTGGTCTTTGGTCCGATGACATCTATCCAGAACTCAGAAGAACTTGGTCCATAACTCCCTGAATTTGTTCTCTGCAGAAAGACATATCATCCTAATATTGAGCCATGTTGTCTTTTACAACAATGACACCAACAGAGTACACGAGACAGAAGAAAGTCATCACAACTTCCTTAGAGAAAAATTAAGTGGCGAGCATCGACTACCTTCACATTTTACTTGAGAGAAAATTGGTAAATTTAAAATCACTGAAAAGAGGTGAGAAAAATAAACTAGCATCCAATCAATGCACTCACCCTGTCAATAAGTAATGGAATGGATTCTGAATTGGGATGCAGCTCCACGTCCGTTTTCACAAAGAAAAAGATCAGCCCGCTGGAACACACAGAAAATTCACATCTATTATCCAAAACAAGACAAAGCAAGCAGTTATGACCAAATGTGTTGCTCATGTAACAGCTATTAGGCAACTGCACTGGCAATACTGTGGGAGACTTTACTTCCAGATTCAGTTTACCTCAACAGACATAACCCAGCTCCACAGTAATTTAATATTGGCCTGGAAACATCCTGAGCAGCAATCCCAAACCAGCCGAATCTGTGAAAGACAGTGACAGTGTTTCTTTTGAATAAATTAGCTAATTAAGAAAAAAATAAAACTAAAACAATGCTCATGATACTGGGTGACATCTCTATGACAGGACCAAAATATTGCCTTCATGCTCTTAATGTCTCATAATAACCTTTTCAAAGTTACAGTTAATCTAAAACTCGCCAAAAGAAAGACTTTATTTTTCCATTCTGGGTGGAAGACCATACATTACTCTGACTCACCTTGAAGTGGCCCAGCCCATCAACAAGCTAGAGGATCCCCAAATTAAAATCCCAAGGCCGAGGCCAATCGCTTTGATAACTGGAACAACTGTTAAATTTCCTGTGGACGACACGAATGGAGAGTTAAGCAACATTCATATCATAACGGTGTGAACTCCCCATGCACTTTTACCCTCCCGATGGAGTGATGACTCACAGTATGACGACCTACACTAGAGACAGCAGTGACATGTAATGCACAATGTTTTGGGTATTTCAAACTGGGGAAATGTTACATGTTTTAACATTAAGCACAAATTTGCATCATGATTAGCACCCCTGTGTATAAAGAGTTTTCTGATCAGGCGCCAGTGAGCTCAAGATAGCCACAGTATTACAGGTTTTAAGGCAACGGAGGAGAAATAGACACTTGGTTTTGTCCAGTTACATACACTAAAGACTGTAGAGCCTGCTTTTCTTTCACAGGATGAGGTTGCTGATGGTTAAAATGTTGCCTTATTAAACGTTTGGGAGCTTATTGCATTATCCTTTGTGTTGTCTCACAATGACACAGAGGGCACAATCTACTCACAGCTGGAGAAAGTGAGCTTAAAATGTGAAAAAGTAGAACAAGTAATTTACGCAGACAGCAGCACATGAAGTGCGCTCTGTCGCAGCAGTAAATAGTATGAAATTGGGACAGACTGTCAGTGTCCTCAAAGTTGGTCGTCTCATCGTCTCTCACAGAAGTGTACCAACATCATCACTTTAAGGTGGACTGCAGCAGATGGGCTCTTTAAGTTGGATGCTTTAAGTCCATCTGCTGCTGCCCAATGTCCAGCTGGACACTTGAAGGGGAGATCCTATGAGACCAAGCGGCACTCAGCCACACGAACCACATAAAGAATGATTAGAGCTTGAGATTTTGCTTTGATGGTACAATACCTGTTGCCCAGATCACACCACCAAGCATCGCAATCGGGTGGAATTTGGGCGACTGCAGCATCAAGTCTCCAACCATAGACACGACCCATATGGCTGCACAGTTTACCCACTGAAAAAACATCCCTGTCAACAGAGCACAGGCAAATTCTTATGTAGGCCATCAAGGTTTTAATAGCATATAAGGATTTTCCCTCTAGAAAATTCTTTTCTTAAGTGAAAATATTCAATAATATTAAGTCTTTGGAAAGCTGTGTGCTTACCGTCTCCTGTTTCTATCCTCTTGACAGGAACAAAATTGCTGCCATACAACAACACAGCAACTACATTTGCAGCAATTCCATAGGCAAAATGAGTCATATTAGTTGAGTTAAAGGTGAAATCAAATGCTTCCAGTTTTCCAATTGCAGCATTTTCTCCACCTCTGGTACCTGGAGGAATTTTAAAGCAGAAAAAACATCAGACAACAACACACACAGCCCTCACATTCATCCATTAATTCATCCATTCACAGTCCAATTATAGTTTACCTACCCTGTTCAGTGCTATGACAGCTCACCATCAATAATGCAGCAAAAAATAAAAGCAAAGGTGGGTATTTTGGTTGAAGCATGTTGAAACTAAATACTGTTTTTTTTTGTTTTGTTTTTTTGCTGTGATGGAGCCAGGCCACAGTGTTGCAACACGCTGATGCCGTGTGTGTGTGTCCGTCGTGGGGAAGACAGAGAGTCAGCCAGGTGCTGCCAATTATCTAATTACTCAGTCTGACACAGACGGCTGCAGAGGACACATGACAAAGAACATGAAGGCTGCCTCCGTCTCTGTCAGGGCAGAAATCATCATAAAGTGACCTTATGAGTGTTTTTATTATCACTGAGTCAAATGAAGCTATAGGAAAACAAATGATTCATTAATCGATTTTTTTTTTTATCAGTTCTTGGTGGGCCAGTTCATCACTATTTACAGGCTGTAGTTTAACGCTCATATTTGTAGCCTGCAGTGAAACAGTAAAAGTGCGGAATTAGTGCAAAAATTAACAAAAATAAATACAAAGATAAGCTCTCTGTCACGAAGCAGGGCTCACTTTTAAACGGGGTACAGGTCACCATGGTAACCTATGCTGCGTGGCTAGCCCGCTCCGGAGCAGGTTAACTTTAGAGGATCTGACAAAAACCTTTCAACAATCTGATCACTGATCAACCAGATAAGTGGAAAACTGAGTCATCATTCCTGCAGGAAGCTGACAGAAGACCCTGACAGAACTCATAATAAAATGAAAAATAATAAAGACCAATAGATAGTAATAGAATCATTTTCCAGTTCCAGGATTTCCATCTGTCACTCTGTTTTTAAAACAGAGCCTCTAACAAACGGAAGGCCACATTATATCTGCTTAATGATGCTTATAGAGGATTCCTGATAGTGTCTGAGGTGCCTTTACACTCTCATTCCATCCGCAGCTCAGAATAACACGAGGAGACATTGTGACGATAACTGGAAATAAAAACCAAAGCGGTTTGTCTTTTATTAGAAAAATAATCCAGACGCTGTGAAATGTGTGATTATAAATGCAGCGTTTTAGACAGATAGACTTCATCTCTCCTCTCCGCAGAAAAACTGTCTGACATTAGCCTACTTAAGTTAAGTTCATCTCTCTCTCTCTCTCTCACACACACACACACACACACACACACACACACACACACACACACACACACACACACACAGAATGGTCCCTCTACACTAAAGAATCTATAATTTAATAATACCAGCATTTATTTGCAGTAAATATCTACAGGCTAGCCTTAACTCAGCATTTGGGAATTGTTTCTACTACTTCTACAGCTTCTCTTGGGATCATATTGTCCACGTGTCGCTTTCGCCCGGTATCACTGTGTCATCTCATTTCATATTAGCTCACTTCTACTTAACAACTCCACCTCTTCCGCGCTCGTGCCCGGACAACCCAGGATTTACTAAGGTGAACAAAAGACCAGACATCAGTCTTCATAGGACACAACACAATAGTTCTATATTTAAACCTACTCAGGTCAGGAAATCCTGTAGAATGAGCTGCTGCTCTCTACTACAAGAGGAAATATTTGTTTCCTGATGTTAACTGTTTCCCTTTTCACTATTCTATTCTATTCTATTCTATTCTATTCTATTCTATTCTATTCTATTCTATTCTATATGATTACCCCGGACTCACACAATTCAGAATTAGGGTAATGGACCAGCAGATGTCGCCTAAAACGCACGGATGTATAACATGAACATATTTTTAGGTCTTCACTGTAAAGAATGTGTAACTTCTCACCCTCACCTCTAACCCCTGGATTTAAATGTAATGAAATAATAAAAAAGTCCACACTGTCCGTATAGTTTCATATGTGTCGACCAGTAATTCTTATTAAATTTTCGCACCAATGGCAAATATATATCACTCATGATCTTATATTTCTATAAGATCTTATAGTGTGATAAAAGTAGTGCGCTATCCAAAACATTTGTAAGACTGTTTTAGTTTTTTTTTTTGTTTGTTTGTTTGTTTTCAAGCAGTGTAAACGGAAATAACACATTTTCAATAAATTCCAGTGACACCATGCAGGCTGATGTGAGCAACAAGTGAGCTGGATTATACAACACACCCATAAGGTGTCCCATAAGTGCTTATTATGCATTTTTATCAAAGGTCCAGTTTGTATCTGAAAAACGAAACAAGAAACCTGAAGTTGCTTCATGTTTGTGTTGGAGGGTGGTTTCCCAGCGCCTCCATCCACTGCGTACTTGTCTCTATGTGGCCACAAATCCTCCCTTCCAAAAATGACTTTCGGAAGTTGTGCGCTCCTCCCTGCTTTGAGTTTGACGCAAAAAAAGACACTCAACCATGGTAATAACATAAGTTCTAATGGGGAAGTATCGCTTTCACGGGCTGTGCTTCCCTTTTTTAAGACTGACGAGCAGCTTTCGGAGGTGCCCTCTTTCAAAAAGGAGTTTGTTAATTGCGACCGTATGTGTAGTCTATTTGCTTTTTGTGGTTTTACATGTTGGATACTCGCAGCAGCACTGGGACAGAAGGACTGTTAAGGACAAGTACCGACACACCCGTGGATTGTATAATTTGGAGCCTAATGGTGTCCATCCAGACTCAGCGGATTTGCAGACCGGTGCCAGCTTTGTGGTACCGACCCGGTCCAACGTGGTCTACATAACGCTCAAGTTTAAGCGCCTGAAACCTGCAAACATTAGGGGCACAATCAGACCAAAACTGAGGAGAAAAGTGAGAAGGAATAAAACAGCCAATTCAGCTTTTACGCAGAACAAACTTGGCTCTTTGGAGCGGTACGCGGGCCAAATTAAGCCCAACTTTGAACCCAAGACTTCCTGGAGAGAAAGCAGGGATGTTGATTATAAATCTTTAGATATAATCCCGAAATCTCATAAAGGCGAAACCGCAGACTCTCAAATCAGTTCTATCAGAATTTACAGCCAAAGGGCACCGCCATGGTTCAGCCCACAGGACGTGAAAGCCATGCGCTTTCTTGCGGATGCCAAAGTTTTGCGCATCAGAGAAGTTTCTCACGGAGGCTCTCCATCACTTCTGATATTTGAGGGCGAGACGAGGGTTTCACCGACCAGCCAAAACCACACAACACCGAACAATGTGTGCGCAGGGCAGTGTGGAGTCATCAACAGTCCCGTGGACACTACTGAGGTCTTTGCTTTCCACTTGGACAGGGTGCTGGGGCTGAACAGGACATTAGCAGCTGTCAGTAGAAGATTCAGATTTTTCCACGGTAGGTCACCACTCACCCGAACAGTGAGTCTGATTATCTGACCCAAGCTGCATTAAAGTTCGGGTGCTTTTAAAACCAAGTTCGATCATTACAGAGTGTATTTCACTACAAACACGGAGTCATTATAACAAACACTGAGCACAACTGTGTGCCAGCGAGGAACCGAGAAAAGGAGGGTGTGGGGTTGGAGGAGAGAGAGAGGGTTTGGGGGGGGGGTCTCCGTCTGAGGATGATAAATGATATTCTCTAACCTGATTGGACGGTTTCCTCAGTCTGAGTAGAACTCCTTTTTATTTGCCCAGGATCCAAATAACAAAACACATTGTATTAACGTCACAATAGTGTAATCAGTGCTATTGAAAACATGGATACTATCCTGATTAGGTGAATCTGTTTACCTTTGTCACAGATCAGGTGGTTTTGGAGGTAAATACTCCAGCACAAGAAGTGACTTGGTGATTATCTGTAACCTACAAACTAATCACACAGTGCAAACTTTTTTATAATGGATGACTTAAATGTAATTTCAGGTGAATGGGGAACTCTGAAGTTGTGGTCTGGTGGTGGGAGAGATGGGCACTGATAATGCCACAACCCTGTACTCTTGAGCTACACATCACACATTGTTCTAGATAAAGGATTGTCAGTAGTCTGCAGTCACAACCATGAGTCAGCATATGTTCCTAGGAGAACAGTCTGAGACCAGACCTGTCCTGTCAAGGCCAAAACTGGCAAACAAGTCCTCTCTAAGAGAGGGTCTTCGTTTACATATCTGACCTGTTCAAGGTTGTGGGAGCACAGGAACTTCTCTTTTTCTCAGGAGAGTTGTCTGGAGGCCTGATTGGATTACAAAAGCCAAGTGTATTAAAATGCATTATGATTCGCAGGGAAGTAAATGCAGGACATTCAAATTTATTCATTCAAACTTATAGTCTTCAAAAACTTTGAGAATGGCACCACACTCTAGCATGAGCTCTTTCAAGGTGACTGAGAGCCTTCGTCCACTTCCTTATAACACCATTATTCCATGTATGAGTAACATCTATGTCTGTTTTTAGTCCTCAAAGCATAAAAAAGCTTTTTCCACTCCGCCTCAAGATAGCACACCATCATGTGTCTGTGAGTTTGATTTGTTGATGTTGTTGCTTTGATTTGATAAGAAGGCTGTGTAAAATTAAATATTTATCGACATACTGAGACGTAGTAGTCCAGTTCTCTGTGCTCTTAGGTGCCCCGGCTCATTCCACCATGTTTCAGAGAAAACATTGCAATAACAACATTTGCTGATTTGTTTGATAAATTGCGAAATCAGAAATAAACACATGACTCCATTACCAGCTCCGACCCTCACTGAGGATAACGAGTTGTTGTAGCAAGAAACACTCGGATAAGCATTTGTAATTCTCTGACACTGTGGGAAACAAAAAATCTTTCTCCATCTCCGTGCTGTCTTACACAAGGTAGACACTGTGCAGCCTCCAGGCCTGTGTTATACCCTGAAAAAATACCAATGAGGTCACTACTGATGAAGTGCGTGCATTGCTCAGTAAGCTTTTCCTGGATAAAAATAGGTTAAAAACTGCATGAGACTGAACAGTTGTTCCAACCTGACCATGTAAATCCCTCTGTCCTTCCTCTTTAGATGGTCAGCCCTGTCCAGTGGTGTCATGGGATGCATCGCTGTACCCAGAGGGCCTTGCTGCAGGCTGGGCCACTGTGAGGTTAACATGGGGGGACTACCAGAGCTCCCTGAAACAAAGGTGTTGGCATAAAAACATCAGCCCAAAGCCCGACTCTGGCTGCTCCACTATTCATCACTACGAGTGGAGCAAGCTGGCTCTGTTTGACTTCTTGTTACAGGTAACAAAGGCTGTTTGAAAAACTTACTATGACAATGACTAACACAGTGATTTGATCAATTCCACATTTCTCTGAATGTAGACACATACATCTGCAGCTTCTCCGTTCTTGGGTATTTGATTTTGCACGGTTAAAGCCTTCCCAGACTTCTTTAAATTCCAAAAATGCCTCATAGATTACTTTTGCAAACCCCTTTTTGTCTGACACCAGCAATATTCTCACAACAGCTGTTACTGCTGAAAAAAATAGGTTAAATATCCTCAGAGGTTTTGTCCTTTGGCTGGAAAAATGCCTTGTTTCCTGTGTGGGATGCCTCACTGGATCACATTTTGGCATTGAGGACACGTCCCCTGAGAACTCTTTAATTCATTCCCTGATCATGAAGCAGCACAGACTGTAGAGTCAAGTCCTGTTAGTTCTTTATTTCAAGTTCCTTATAAAGAAATTAATGAATAAATAACATGAAATTCCTATTGTGCAGTTTAGAGAAACGGATTCCACAGTGCACATGAAACATCTCATCAAAGAGAGAAGTGAATTGAATATAGTGAAGTTGTTACACTAGTTTATCTGGTACTGAATCGCAGACAAATCATTTCTATTCATATCATAGATATTTGCTTGTCCTGAATTTACCCTCAAGTGAGAACAACAATTACTGGGCTAAAGTCAAATTTTGAAACTGTACATTTTTATAAGCCGAGATGAATAAATATTGAAGTCCATGACAATGGGGGTTTATAGTTGTTAGAGGTTCTTTTTTTTTTTGAAGGTATTAGGACTTACAGAGGGGTATGCTTAAGGGATTGCTGGCTTGATTCACAGGTATCCTGGAGGTATGTCTTGCCCCTATTTGTTAGCACCATCTAAAACCACCACCAATCCAGTGGTTTAGCATATTGAGAAAGATGAATCGATGAGAGCCATAGTTGGGATTTGGAGTTGCCATTCCTTGTGGAGGAAGCAGGAGTTATTTGAGAGGAGCTGCTGCCTGACAGCGTAAAGAAAGTCCCCTGTGCAATCATGTCAATCAGCAGTCCGATCTATTGCAGAATAAACATCCTCAGGGAAATTTAAAAAAAAACATTCGGTTGTCAGGGTTATCAAACAGCTCAAACGAGAGAAAACATCAACTACAAAAATGCTCTGAAGAAATGTGACCATTCTTTTTCAGATTCACAACCGTCTGGATCAGAGCTGCTGTGGGTTCAGGCCCCGGCAGGAAGATGCATGTGTGGAACTCGGCCTCCATGCCGAATGTGGGAGCCAGGACCACATACAACTGGCAAACATCATCCACAGGGGTCACGACCCCAGACACCTGGTCTTCACCAACAACAAGGGGTTCTTCGACCGCAATGAGGACAACTTGGACTTCAGGCTGCTGGAGGGAATCAAGGAGTGAGTTTGGATCACAACACTGAAGGCTGAAAAAAAAAAAACATTATGCGATCGATACTGATGATTTCAGTGTGTCAGATACAGTGTTATTCAATTCTTAAAGTGTTTTTAGACTAAGAATATAATTAATGAGTTGTCAGGACCACCACAGGACCATTTATCAATAATAATTTTTTGGCGTAACAACTGTCCACAGCGAGGAGGGAGCACAAATGACTGGTGGGTTGTTTTCAGATGTTTTTTTCCAAAGTTTCAGTTTGTCTTTCCCTCCTCTGCAACACAGTTGAAAGCAAAGCTGAAAAAGCGGATTTGAATTTGTGTTGAATCTCTGCCAGGCCTGTTCAGAAACTCAGGATTTAAAGATTTGTACACAATAACCTGCAACCATAAGTACAAAGCAGCTATTAGAGATTATAAGAATGTCATTTTTTAATTTTTCAAATCCCATTTTGGACTTTTTAAACCACAGTTTAAACCCTTACTTTAACCTTCTGTTACAAACATTTTAAGAAATATTTAGCTCCAGTTCAACAAAGTTTGGATAAATCTGACAGGCAAGTGTTGCACCCTGACAATGTGTTATTTCTGTTTGTTCCCCACTGATCTCTGTGGATATGTAATTTCAAACCACGCTGCAGAGACATTGCTTTCATTTCATCCATCTTTTGATCAATAAATCAGTGGCGACAGAAGAGAAGCTGTGGTTTGGCACGGACGCTTGTATCTCCTCCAAACATAGATCCCTGTGATCCTCATCAAAAATGCAGCTTCTATTCTGGTATTCCAATCAGATAAAAAGGCAACGTGAGTCTAAATTTAGATGCTATCAGATGACATTAGAGATCACAGGGCGTCATTAATACCTGATCTTTTTTTTTGATCTTACGTTGGATTCTTTGTAGGTTTGAGAGGGTTTTATCTCTGACTTTTATCAAAGCTAATTTAACTGACATTTGACTTTTTTCCCAGGCACGTTCCAAATAGATGTGTATGTCATACAGTTAATCATCACAGTTAATTGGAAAGGTTGAGCTTACAATACAGTGAATACAGTTTCTTCATGGCTCTTCTCCAGTTGTCCTCAAAGTCCATATGATCACGCATCAGGCAGTAATATCGTCCATTTCAAACTCTGTCAGACAAGCCACAAAACAGCATCTCTGAGTCAAAGCAACAATAAACACTTTTAGTTTTGTTCATTTATAACCATGCACCAGCCATACTTCAACACAGATTGCTTCAACCCACTTAGATTTGTTTTGTTCTAGATGAAATTACGTCACTCGCCGACATTCATACTTCAGAGAAAACAAAAAGGACCAACTCCAAACCCGACGGCTGCAGCCAGCTGCTGCCCAGCTTCACATGATGTAGCCTACTCGTCTCCTTTATTAATCTGTGACGATATTTCATTCGCTTGAGCGGAGCTTTTACCCACTCGAAAGCTGTTAAAAGGTTGTAATTCTCCACCTGTACTGATGAGAAACCTTTCATTTCACTCAAGCTGAAGTTTTAACAGGGGAAACCAAAAGTGTAATTTCAACGGTGTAAAGAGCCACTGTTTTTCTGATTTCAAGTTAGCTAACGGGTGGAGAGTAACTAAGTACATTTATTCCAGTATGTCTGAGTTGCTTGTACTTTGGAGTATTTTCTTCTTATGCTACTTTATACTTCTTCACTTCACTGCATTTATCTTACAGCTATAGTTACCTTTCAGATTAAGATTTGTCATGAACATCATATAAGTTTATCAAATACAATGCTAACAAATTGTTAGCGGTTCCCAACCATTCTGGCTTGAGACCGCTTACAAAAGAGTAATGTCTAGTCAGGGCCCACAGAGGTCAAATTATCCAATATTTCATAAAAGAGTATAAATTGCAGGAAAAAAAGCCATGTTACAGTATCTTTTTTCAGATTGTAACAACAATCATTGAATATTTTGTGATTTATTTAAGTTTGATATTTGTTTCCACTACAAACTTTATTGAGACCAGCTCCTACCTTGAATCCTTCATGGAGGTGTGTTTAGTTTGCTGAATAGTGGTGCACCTACACATGGGGGCTACAACAGGGATAAAATGTTTACTGTAGTTTGAAGATAGAAAGTTATCTCTGACTATCACCTTCTTGTTCTTTCATGATGGTGTTGTTATTGTTTTTTGTGCTTTTGTCTCTGAGGTTACAGTTACCTTCTCAGTATTGCAGAGTTTACAAAGAAACAGCCGAGATAAACTTGCAGCAAAGACAAATTTGATATAAATTTCATATTCAGCTGCCTCTATTTTTGGCAAGTTTCATTTTGCTGGAGTTACACCACCTCTAAAAAAAAAAAAAAAGACAATATACCTTCATCAAGTGACAGCCAATCAGATTACTTCTGCTCCCAGCCAAGGACACCTCTGCTTCTCAGATGTGTCTGTAACTAAAACTTCAGTTCACTCTCTCTCACCTCTGTGTCTTTCCAGGCTTCCAGAGCAGGCAGTATCAGTGCTGAGGAGCAGGAGGCTGAGGGAGAAACTCCTCCAGTCTCTGTTCCTGGACCAGACGTACTGGGAGAGCCAGGGCGGGCGACAGGGCATCGACAAGCTGATTGATGTGATCGAGAGGCGGGCGAAGGTCCTCCTCACCTACATCAACGCCCATGGGATCAAAGTCATCACAATGAATGTGTGAGGAGGCTTACACCAATCAAGAGTGAAATTACTTAGACACAGACATAGTCAATTAACAGTCTGATCCCTGTGACTTTAGTATGTCCTTTTAAAAGACACTGGAGCTTTGTCCACTTACATTTTCTAAGGTTATCTGGATAAAAACATCAGCTAATGAGAAAAAATGTTACATATAATGTAAGTTATGCAAATTGTTTAATATTGTTCTGTATCACAAGAGTATGAGAGCACATGCTGTCAAGTACAAGTGACCCTAATCCTCAGGAAAAATGAAACAGGATTCATTAATTTATATATTTTAAAAAATAATGCTAATGAAGGACTTATTATAAAGTTGCCTCTGTAATAGCAAACCATTCAAGTAATGTCTGGGTAATCTATCAACATCTATAAACCCATGAGATACTGAGAGATTTTTTTAATTTGACTAATTTTGATATTTACAGAGAGCCTAACTTTTACTTAAGGAAACTAATTAGGTTTACTTCCTTCTTTCGAGTCTTTATTTCTTTCTCTCCCAGAGGCCGATGTGCTTTTGTCATTATGTAAATACATGCTGCAGTTATAACTCCTTTATCCTTCCGAGGCCTTCCAGTGCGTGTAATTTGCATTGTGTATGATGGGAATGCACTACATGATAAGTTATTTTCTCCTCCGCTCCTCCAGTGGGTGGCAAGAATTAAGATGTCAGTAAAGCCTCTTCTTATTAAGAAGACACAGCCTGGATCCACTCGGCTTGACTGGCATCGTGCATTATTACACTGAAAAAAGATTTCGATTTTAATGAGTTATTTAATCTCGTATCTCTTGTGTACAGTCCTAAAAAAATGTTTTTGCCTTTTAAACAAAACCATTAAGACGCTTTACTTGTTTTCAGTGTATCCTCGCCTGTGTAATTTCATGCTTTTAAGATTCAGTACATCACTCTCTGTATTATCATCAACATTGCATATTATGAAACATGTTTGGAAAGAACAGGCAGTGGCAGTGACTGTACATTATAAACTGAAGATCTTTCAGTATGAGGAGTCAGACGGTGCTGTTCTCTTTTACATGCGCCCTTTATTTCAGTTGGACTACAAAAACTCCTTCTGTCATAACCATTTTCATTGTATTTATTTATTTTTTTGTACTTTCTTTTCTAATTATTGAAGACGTTTGAGCATCAGATGGTCAATAAAGGCAATTATTTGTAAAACATTTGGGCTTGATAATGATCTTTAGCGTTGCATTTTAACTTGGCTTTATTGAACTTTGGCTTGAAAAGTGACAACATGTGATTTCAGGTAATTTAAAAGTCAGTCACAGACAGGCTCGCAATTTCATTCACATTAACTTTATTGTGTTTATGTAAAAGTTTGACACTCATTCTATGTGTATGTGTGCTTTATATGTGCATTATTTATTCTTAACTAACAAGGTATATACAGTCTATAGCAAAGACATTTTTTCCTCATGTCTACCCACTAACAGCTCGATCAGAAATAGTCTGTGAAATCCGAGCTACAGCCTGGTGTCTGTCTTTCATGCTGTGCTTTGGGCTCTAAGAGTTGGAGTCGACGGGGCTTTGAGGGTTATTTTGTCGTGTCCATGCTGGGCATTCACTCGGCTGTTGTCTTAACCCCTCTGCACCCGCATTAGTGCGTCAGTGGGGTCCATGTCTGTGTGTGTTTGTGTTAGAAAAACCTCTCTATTTCCCAGAGTGCTCAGCAGCGGAACTTACTTTCTTTACAAGCATGTGTGTTTGCATGTTCTCACACAGTGACATACACACAGACAAAAGGCGACTTTTGACCAATACATGTATGCAACAATATATGTAAAGACGCACACAGACACACAGGCAAGCGTAAGGGCCTGGACCTTCCCCACGTCCCCACATTCAGACCCACTCAGTGTAATTAGACCACAGTAAAAACAGTGTGTGCGGTTCTACAGGTCAAGTGCCACACTCCAAACTGACAAACAAGACTTGACAAGTAGCTGCTTAGTCAGTCAACTCAGACACAGCCTGCCAAGCATTAGCTTTTCACACATGAAAAATATTATTCTGCCACATTTCAGACAATGAAGTTAAAAGTCCTCTCTTCAAGTGAGAAAAAGTCTGCGGCTGTATTTATTATTAGCACAAAAACAGCACTGCACTGCACGTACTGAGAAAAAATACCAATTCCAAAGACATTTTCCTATTGTTGCATTAAAGTTGAAATCCAAATTAAAATCCATGAAATCTCTTCCAGTCTTATCTGGGGAGAGGCAACTGGCTTGGAGTTCAAACTCCTGCAAAGACAGCAGAGCAGCAAGAGTTGCACTTGTGGCCTCCTCTAGTGTGATGTTGTGTATTAACAGCTATCTGGGGAGCTGAATGAAAACGTCTTGAACGACCAAGTAAAACTCTTTGCTATTTTGTTATTTGCTATGGTGGTGAAATAAGACACTTAGATAAGAAGTACAACACTAAAAATAATATCACACTGCTACAATTATGATGGTGGTTTGGACAGACTTTTGGTATTGGTGGCCAGAAAGGTAGCAGGGACAAGCACAAAAACAGTTCTTCATGTCAAAAGCCCCGCCCCTGGATAGGTTAAACTCAGTCATGTCAGGTATGAGCTTATTATGTTATACTGTATGTTTATACCAGACATTAAAAACGAATAACTTTATCTGTCGGATAGAGTCAGTAGGATTTTGACATTCAAGCTTTTACACTCTGAGGAACAGCACTTAGAGTTAAATGATATAAATATGTCACTGGAGCCAGCAGCTGGTTAGCTTAGCTTAGCATAAAGATTGGAAACAGGGGGAAACAGTTAGCCTGGCTCTGTCCAAGGGTAACAAAATCCTCATACTAGCACCCCTAAAGCTCACTAATTAACACGTTATATCTTCTTTATTCAATATGTACAACACCGCTTTATGGGGGATTATGTGTTGGACTCTTTCTTGGCTGGGACCAGTCTCCAGGCAACCAGCAAAGACTCCAGGAAGTTACTGGCATTATAGTACCAATGCAGCGATATAATAACTTTGCCATGCTCATTATCATAGCCATATTTGAACAATACTTACATTACCATGGATTTATCCTGCTGACACCATTCATTGTTGTGGGTTAAGGCCAATTAAGGAAAACACAGAATCTGTATTTGATCCTAAACAAACACATTAATTAGATAAATCTATAATGAAAGTTTAATGAGGAAGAAATACTTAATACTTAAAGTCTCTGTGCCTTAAAGGAAAATGCAGCATTTGCAAATTATATGTCCTCAGGCAGGTTGTTCAAATTTAAAACATTAGAGGAGCAACGGGCTTTGTACTTCAATCTTCACATTTCATTTAGCAGCTTTTGGCTTGAGCACAGAGGAAGTCTGTGCTTTTGATAAGCTGCTAAATGGGATTATTTTTGCAAAAGTTTTCAAATAACTTCACAAGGGTGTAGCCTCAGGGATGGTTTGTGAAATGTATACAATTACTCTCTATGACTCTTTCTTATTTTACATGACAGGCCTGACGAGTTCACTCTTGTTTGCACAGATAATGAGCCTTTTTCTCTGTTCTTCCTACTCTCCATCTTCTTATTTTGCTCCCTCTTCACCTTGTCTTCTTATTCTTAGTCAAATTTAAAGCTGTTGAGCTTCATCTTTTTTTCCGAGGGGTATGGGAAATTAGAAGATTCTGTCTTTGAGGCAGTTTATGAGAATAATTCAGGACAGTTTGTCTCAGCTGTGCACAGCTGGCTGTCGCCTGGTCAGACTCCAAACAGAGGAGTTCTTTATTCTCATGACCTCAGCTCAGCCCTAGTAATCACTCTGGTTTACCATGATGTCACTTTTCCCATTTCCTGCTGCAAAGTTTGCCACTCACCAACATCGAACAGAAAAAAAAAAAAATTTGCCCACAAGCAATATTGGTCAGAGTAACTTATTCATTCTGACATTTATTCATTTACTTCTGAATTGGTTTTCTCTCAATTAACCGTTCCATTTGCAGCTGCACAAAGAACCTCACACATAAGCAGTATCTTGTAATATTTTGCAAATATTTCACACAGGCAGGACACAATACAGATGGTGCATAGCATTTTCAGGTAGTTTTGTCACTGCTGTTCCCATAGTAGGAAACACACTTTTGCTTCCTTGCGAGGAGTTAAATGATAAGAGTGATACCACTCCTTTATTTGTACGCTGAATATTTTGTTATAGCCAGGAGCAAGTAATCTTAGCTTAGCATAAAGGCTGGAGACAAGTTGAAACAACAAACTAAGCTCTATTAACAAAACCTGCACACCAGTAACTCCGAAGTAAAACGAAGTAAACCAAAGTGTAAAAACAACATTTTTTGGTTTTATTTGTGATTGTGTGCCAGGCTAGCTAATCTAACCTACTTCACAATTCCTGGATATTTCATAATATGAATGTTGCATTGATTGAATAAACACAATTTTCCCAAAATGTCTAACTATTTCCTCAAGATTTGTCACTTCCTCTCAAAAGTACACACAACCAACATAAGTTATCTATTTTTTTTTTTTTTAAAGTACATCTATTGGTTATCAGTTCGGGGTAGTGTGACTTTTTCTCAGTTGCAGCTTCAATCTTCTGATGAGAAATGTTTTCTTATACATTTCACCCCAAGCAGCTTTCATATTTCTTCTAAGCTTACAGGCCATACTGTTTTCTTAAAAGGCTTTAACAACTCTGTTACACTTCAATGTAGAACAACACATTTCCTTTCACTGCCAAGAGTCTCCTGGAGTGTTTCAACAACACAGCACATGTGTGGGGTCACTGGCAGATTACATGGAAGGATAACAACAAAAAAAAACAAAATGACGCCTTTTTGTCTCCTTGAGCACAAAAGCCACCAGACACAACAAAATGTCCTGCCATGCTGCCTCTAACACTGCTGCAGGAAGCTCTTTTCATGCTGATAAGGACTTTACAGGAGAAATTGAAAGAATGTCAACATGTGTCAGATAAAGTCATGTCAAAGCTTGCTTGTTTCACTAAAAGGCCACATAATTCAGAGCTCGAAGATTTATGGAATCAGAGCACACGGTGAATAAGAGTCTTTTTTTGACATCTTTAGCTGCGTGTAGAAACATCTCTTGCAGGCTTTGGCGTGCTTCCAGGATCTTTTAACCTCACCTTGGAAAAAAAAAAGCAAAGTCTGAGGCCGGATTTAACTCAGCTGTCCTGACTGAAAATATCTCATCTACAAATCTTACCTCTCACTCCTTGCGTGTGTCATCACTAATAAATCTGATCTCTGTATCATCTCTGAAATATACTTCCTTCAAAAGTTTTGTTTCTGGTATTCTTTCATTTTTAATGCATGTTTCTGCTTGAGGGCATAGCGATTGTTTGTTTCACCTAAACCATATAAGCTTTGACCTGTGCTATAGCTACAGTTTTTGTGTAATGCTGATTTTAGAAAATTTTTAAGCTTATTCACCTAGGGAAGGTATTGTGTTTCTTTTTTATGCGATAAATGCACAAGTAAGTGAATAATTCCTCCAAAGGTTCACTTAAAGCCATACCTGCAGCTCAGACTGAGAAGAGGTCTATTCAAGCAGAAGACTCTCTGTCAGGTAAGAATGCGGCCAAATGAAATAGCCTGAGGCGTCGTACGGACACTAAGTACGAGTTATCTTTCAAATACGATTTAATGAAAGCAGTGGGTCAAGAAACAACTTGACCTTAAAGCTGAAAAAATAACAAACTCAGATTCCGGTTGATCGTTTTGATTTTAAAATTCTTGTGGGGTGAGATACTGTATACATTGTATTGTATTTGTAGAGGTGAGGGTAAATAGCTTCAGGCTCATCTGTGATGGACAAAGAGGAAGGCGTGAGCAGTCTCAATTAGTGCAATGATGTGCATCTCTGATCACATCTATGATTGGATTATAGGGAAGACAAGCGCAGCGCAGAGGCTCCTGCCAGCTGCATGGATAATTTATTCCCTCGTGGCATGTACCCAGACCTGAGCTCTCTGTGTCCCACTTACTTTTCAATCTTCTCATTCTAGGGGAGGCCTGCAGGTCAGGGGCATGGTCAGTGGCAGAACATTTCCCCTGGAGCTGGTTCAGATTCACTGTATTGCTTTGAGCAGGACAGCTAAAGTGAGGAGGGATTGATCCAGGTGTCCGGTACATGGCAGCCTCTCCAACCACTT